CTGCAGGAGCTTCTTGCGCTGTTCCCTCCACATTACCGACCGTTCTGGATGAATGAATACACTCGGGGGCAGCGTTGTTTTACCAAGCATATGCAGAGATCAGTGCAAAAGTACTTTTTAAATTTGTATCTATGGTGCAAGTTCCCACAGGTATGAATTCATTCTCAACATAACAAGGCAGGTTAGGTAAGGTGAGGTCAAGGTAGCTTGGTGTAGTTAACAAATAGAACAAAATCTTCATGGTGGCCTTACCTGCGCTGTATGACGGCTTCCCTGGGCCAGAACACCTCCATCATAAGCCATGACCGACACAACAACACAGCCGTGTACACTTCTATCAAGACGAGGACTCCAAACAGCACGAACCCAGACCAACCTGTGGTACAACGTTCTCAGCAATATACATTATGGTATTACAGAGGCCCCATGATCAGTCGTGAGTATAGGTATCAAAAAGAGGTTGACACAAAAATCATTTAACAACAATATTTACGCGAAGCTTACCGTAGTTATGTTAGGTTATATAATGCAGCAACATCAGGTAATGTGGAAAGCAGGTTGACCAAATTTAAAATTTTAGTGATAAATCTAGCACTCTTTTATAACTCACTTAGCATTAAATCCGCCCTGGACGGCCTTTCATATCTGAAAAAGAGAGGCTATGGAGCGCCTCATCATGCCCACGAGCGTGTGACTGTGTATGAGATGAATACAGTGCAACCCAGCAAGGAATTTATTGGTTCTCGACCGAGTAATATACTGACAAATGGTGAAATGATAAATTAGATAATCAAAATTAACGTTCAGGAAAACAGGAAGGTCACAAGACTCGTTTGGAGTGGTCATGATCATCCCGTCTGGTCCCGAGATATGCTAGATAGTACCAGTTGATTGCTAACGTAGAAGAAATTCAGATACATTCTGGGGCCAGTACATGTCCAGTACTTAGCAGCAGTGTGTAACAGAGCCAGGACATGCCCGCTACTTACCAGCAGTGTGTAACAGAGCCAGGACATGCCCGCTACTTACCAACAGTGTGTAACAGAGCTACCACATGCCCAGTACAGTACTTGCCAACAGTGTGTAACGTAAACGTGACCGACCGCAGGTCACTAAATACGCAACACGCGGTGGTCAGCCAAGGTGAGCTGTGGCTTTAATATATTTTATCGTTTGTTGAACCCCTTATAAATAACGAGAGTATCAGATTAAAATATATTTTATATATCGAGTTAATTTTATCATGCAGGTGTTGACACAAAACACTTAATTCTGGCGTAAAGTTACCGAAGAACATAAGAAGCTGCAGAAGGATGTCTGTGAGCTCCAGGAATGGTCGAAGAAATGGCTGCTGAGATTCAATGTCACGAAATGTAAGAGGATGCACCTGGGGCGTACCAATGGTAAGGAGGCGTATCATATGTTCTAACGGGATGAAGAAATTGCACTATTTGAGACTGAATGTGAGAAGGACCTCGATGTGTATGTTGAAAATGAGCTGAAGTTCTCGGGCCATTGGAGAAGAAGGTAAAACAAGCAAACAAATTATTGGGTCTTAAAAGAAGGTCGTTTAGATATCTAAACGATCCGTCCCTCGTAACGATCTTAAGAGTGAAGTGCTTCCCCATCTGGAGTACTGTCACCCCGTCTGGTCCCCGAGATATGCTAGGGACTGTCAGTTGGTTTAAAATGTTCAAAGGAGGGCCACCAGATTGGTGCCTGCACTTCGGCACCTCAACTACCCTGAGAGATTGGAGCGCCTGAACTTGCCTAACTTATACTACAGACAGGCAAGGGGCGACCTAATTGAGGTGTACAGTATAAGCATCTTAAGGGGCACTACTCAGTCGAGTGTATTGGAGCTGGCGGATGCTCGCCCCGCAAGGGGTCACAGCTCAAAATTGAAGAAGCCGCAGGTCCAGAAAACTGTGAGGGCAAACTTTTTCGTAGTGAGAGTTGTGAACTCTTGGAACAATCTACCAGAAAGTGTTGTGATGGCACCGAGTGTAAGCTCTTTCAAGACCAGACTTGACCAACACTGCAGCAGGTTCAGGTACATTCAGGAGCCGGTGCATGCCTAGTACTTGCCAGCAGTGCATAACAGAGACGTGACCGATTCCGAAGCGGCTAACGAGCTGATCAGTGGTGAAGACGATAAAAGTAAAAGTAAAAAATATAAGAACGGAGGAAACTGTAGCACTCCTGTTTGCTCATACTGGGCAGTTCCGTTTACACCCAACCCCTTCTGTAACTTCTGTTGTATCTAACACGGTTTGTAAGCCAATAAATATTATTTGATATTTGTTACATATGTCTCCTTAGGAATTATAGAAAAATTACCTTGAAGATAGATCAAGTAAGACGATAAGTAAATACATAATGCACTTTAAAAGACACTCAGTCTACAGTGTGTGTTTGTGTGTTTGTGTGTGTGTGTGTGTGTTTCACGAGGGGTGTGGTGTGTAACATTATGAGCGTCACCCACACCATTGTCAGTAACTTGAAGCTGTTACAGGTAAGGTGATATATAGCATCACCTTTCCTCCTAACCTAACCTAACCTAACCTCACCTAACCTAACCTTAAATCGAAAACTGCACTAAGGTAAGAATTCCTCACAGTTAAAGTACTCACCACAGTATATGATGGCGCCAGGCAGTGATACTATGGGGACTACACCAAACACTCCCAGAATGTAGCAGACCGCAGTAACCATGTTGATGCCTGGTGAGCTGTCCTCTCTCTGTGGATGTACAAAGTGTTGACATACTCACGACACCAGAGAAAGTGTTTGCATCATTTTCCATGTGTTTATTTTTTTTAAGTTTTGTTGGATATGAAAGCTATATGTATAAAGATATTAGCCTGGTATCACACACACACACACACACACAACAGAATTTTCCAGAATCTACCAGACGTCAACAGGAATCTACCATATGTCACCAAGAATCTACCAGACGTCAACAGGAATCTACCAGACGTCAACAGGAATCCACCAGACGTCACCAAGAATCTACCAGACGTCACCAAGAATCTACCAGACGTCACCAAGAATCTACCAGACGTCACCAAGAGTCTACGAGACGTCACCAAGAATCTACCAGACGTGAAGAATCTACCAGACGTCACCAGGAATCTACAGACGTCACCAAGAATCTACGAGACGTCAACCATGATGACAACAGGATGTCAATACCAACCTTACTGAACATGGGTGAAGCTTCCGGTACTTCAAACACGCTCCTGGGGGGTGTAGGAGGGGTGTGGGTGACTCTAGGGGGTATATCCACCCCCCACCTGTACCCCAACAATGCCGTTGTTTCCTTTTGGTGATCACTCATTGTCACCTGCTCTGTTACGACGTGCTAGGGGCTTAATATGGTGGTAGTGGCTCAATATGGTGGTAGGGGCTCAATGTAGTGGTAGGGGCTCAATGTGGTGGTAGGTGCTTAATGTGGTGTTAGGTGTTCAATGTGGTGGTAGGGGTTCAATGTGGTGGTAGGTGTTCAATGTGGTGGTAGGTGTTCAATGTGGTGGTAGGGGCTCAATGTGGTGGAAAGGGGCTCAATGCGGTGGTAGGTGCTTAATGTGGTGGTAGTGTTCAATGTGGTGGTAGGTGTTCAATGGTGGTAGGGGCTCAATGTGGTGGTAGGTGTTCAATGTGGTGGTAGTGGCTCAATGTGGTGGTAGGTGTTCAATGTGGTGGTAGTGGCTCAATGTGGTGGTAGGTGTTCAATGTGGTGGTAGGTGGTGTTCAATGTGGTGGTAGGTGTTCAATGTGGTGGTAGGTGTTCAATGTGTGGTAGGGGCTGAATGTGGTGGTAGGGGCCATTGTGGTGGTAGGTGTTCAATGTGGCGGTAGGTGTTCAATGTGGTGGTAGTGGCTCAATGTGGTGGTAGGGGCTCAATGTGGTGGTAGGTGTTCAATGGTGGTAGGTGTTCAATGTGGTGGTAGGTGTTCAATGTGGTGGTAGGGGCTCAATGTGGTGGTAGGTGTTCAATGTGGTGGTAGGTGTTGAATGTGGTGGTAGGGGCTCAATGTGGTGGTAGGGGTTCAATGTGGTGGTAGGTGTGTGGTGGTAGGTGTTCAATGTGGTGGTAGGGGCTCAATGTGGTGGTAGGTGCTTAATGTGGTGGTAGGTTCAATGTGGTGGTAGGGGCTCAATGTGGTAGGTGTTCAATGTGGTGGTAGGTGTTCAATGTGGTGGTAGGGCTCAATGTGGTGGTAGGTGTTCAATGTGGTGGTAGTGGCTCAATGTGGTGGTAGGTGTTCAATGTGGTGGTAGGTGTTCAATGTGTGTAGGTGTTCAATGTGGTGGTAGGGGCTCAATGTGGTGGTAGGTGTTCAATGTGGTGGTGGTTCAAGGTGTAGGGGCTCAAATGTGGTGGTAGGTGTTCAATGTGGTGGTAGGGGCTATATGTGGTGGCAGGGGCTCAATGTGGTGGTAGGTGTTCAATGTGGTGGTAGGGGCTCAATGTGGTGGTAGTAGCTCAATGGTGGTCGTGGCTTAATGTGGTGGTAGTAGGTCAATGTGGTGGTAGGTGCTCAATGTGGTGGCAGGGGCTCAATGTGGTAGTAGAGGCTCAGTGAGGTGGTAGAGGCTCAATGTGGTGCTTAGGGTTGAATATGGTGGTAGGGGTTTAATGTGGTGGTAGGGGCTCAATATGTTGGTAAGGGGTTAATGTGTTTAGGGCTCAGTGTGGTGGCAGGGTCTCAGCTGGGAGGTAAGTGTCAATGGCGTCGTGTCTGCATAGGAGACTTGATTTACTGTCCGTCCGTCTCCCTCTCCTGCAATTCCAAGAAATACAACCATTAATTATTGTCATTATATTAATCTAATATTTTGCTATATGACCCAGCCAGTGACAAGGATTAACCCAAGAAGACCGGACACTTGGCCAACTGCACTGGCTAACCTTTACCCCCCCCCCCTCCTCCTGTGTGGTCTTCTCTCTGATGCTGGACCTACACCTCCCTCCCGTGTGGTCTTGTTCTCCCTGATACTGGACCTACACCCCCCTCCTGTTTGGTCTTGTTCTCCCTGATACTGGACCTACTTCCTTCCTCCTGTGTGGTCTTCTCTCTGATGCTGGACCTACACCCTACAGAAAGATAATAAGTTCTACCATTTTCCTCATTACAACCCCTCACAGGCATAAGGAAAGGCTTGGTAGCTTGTCCATTTGATGATCAGTTTCTTGTCATCCCACTTAATTATCGTCGACGTGGACGTATGGATCATATATATAAAGAGCTTGTAGCGTACTTAACTATATGATCCTTGTACCTTACAGGTCTAAGTGAGTAATAAAATAAAATTAGATGCATTACAAAAGTTATATCATAATTACATATACAGGTAACAAATAGAAACAAAGTTTCCTATAGTGTACTAGCAGGGAAGTTTGTGAGTAGGATCCGCCGGTACTATTACACGTCATATTGAGTGTGACAGCTCAGGACTCAGGAATGTTAGTGCGTGAATGACGTCAGCCATCGTGTGAGAATGTGTTGACACAGCACCATGACACCTGACTGCCAGCGTGGACCAGATAGTGTGGTCAAGCGGTGTGTGTGAGACGTCAGCCGTTGTGTGGTGTAGGACCGGAAAACTACACATCGCTAACGTGGACCAGCAAACGTGGCTAGCCAACATGGACTGGTGTCCCATATATAAAACCGAGGCGGCTGTAGATCTCAATCATTACTTTCTGAGCTCTACACATTCACCATCTCTTAAGGAGTGCGCAAACTTGCTTCTTATAACCCCAGCCGTGTATTTGACGTATTAAACTACACACAAAACACCTTTAATACGTTGCAGAAGTGAGTTTTTTCGTCGACTGAAGTCAAACATCATGGGATTAATCTTGAGCCGTATCCTAGCGCTGGTGCAGAGCAAGAAGCCCTGCAGGATCCTCATGGGTAAGTTAAAACGTTTACCAAACAGTTAAATCCGTACAGTTTATTAGTGAAATGTAATCAGTGTACAGAGTTTCGATAGTAACTAGTTAGGGAATGTAATTACTAGATGTTTTATACATTTATTTATCAATAAAATGTCGATGACAATCTTTAAACGGTATATCATAAGCTAAATCATTACTGGGTTGAAGATTACGACCATTTTGGCATCATGTATCATCACCAAAATAATTTGAAGGGACACGATAGGACCAAAGTGTTGTCAATGTCTTAGTTTTATATCTACGTTCAAACAAATAGACATCATACAGTTTGAGTGGAGAAAAACATAAGTATAGTTTACAGTTAAGTAAAATTATTCTTTAGTTAAAACGTTTCTTACCAATATGTTTAAAAGAACTTTACAAGTTTTACTATATTAAATATTCTAGTTAACCCTACACACGGTTTTTGAGTTCTTTAAATGTATTGATAAAGTTTTCTATTGTTAGTGGGGCTGGACGGTGCAGGGAAGACTACGGTACTTTACAAGCTTAAACTGGGAGAAGTCGTCACCACCATCCCAACTATTGGTAAGAAATACTACCATGATTTCCTGTCACCTTAAATTTTCTACACTGATTTTTTTTTACCGTTGTATACAAAATTGATGAAAAGTGATTTTATTCAAGTTTTCCAGATTTCATTCTAAAATTATCAATATAATAATAATATCAACCAGGTTTCAATGTGGAGACGGTGGAGTACAAGAACGTCAGCTTTACTGTGTGGGATGTGGGCGGCCAGGAAAGAATTCGGCCTCTGTGGAGACATTACTTCCAGAACACGTCAGCCATCATATATGTGGTGGACAGCAACGACCCCGATCGTCTGGCAGAGTCTCGCGAGGAGCTGGAGTTGGTGGTATGTATTGGACAAGGTTGTCGTAATAAGTCTTTCATTAGTACTGGGGTCGTCCTCATAACTCTATCCAGGACACTAACGATTGTCTACAAGAGAAGAATGGCTCACTTCACTGGTGACTGACAGAAGCACTCCAAGTGGTCAACAAGTCAAAATATCAGTTGTCGGGATTGAATGAATCAGTGGACAAGGAAAGAGTTCATAGTTCGTTTGTACTGCATTACTTACCATCAATACAACTTTCTTTGCCACATACGAATGACTGTACTATTGTTTGGCTACAAATTGTTTAAGAAATTCCAAATGGAAGAAGGGAATGTCATTCGTCAGCTTTCCAAAGGAAGCAGAAAGGTGAGTTGTAGACCTTTCCCACAACAGTCGATGTCGATTGATAATTTGTTTTTATTATATCTATATTGCCCCGATGTATGTGGTATTAATTCTAAATCCTTCTACAGAATTGTCAGCAAAGAACAGTGTCATCAGGATACAAAGTGACCCGCAGGATATGTATAAATATTTAAGATTAGGCTACGTCACCAAAAAAGTTTAAGTTTAGTATGAGGTTACATCTTACAAGAATGTATAAAGGCAGCATATTTATGTATTTTTTTGTAGTTGTCTTAGGCAACCAGTTTGTGTATGTCAACTAATTTTGTTGCAATCTTGCGAGTAATTATTATTCATTTATAGTTTTGTGAGTATAGTACATTACGGAGCGTGAGTTGCTGTGCACTGAGGGAAGCGAGCTATTGGCCTGAACATTACAGACATATTTATGTATTTTTTTGTAGTTGTCTTAGGCAACCAGTTTGTGTATGTCAACTAATTTTGTTGCAATCTTGCGAGTAATTATTATTCATTTATAGTTTTGTGAGTATAGTACATTACGGAGCGTGAGTTGCTGTGCACTGAGGGAAGCGAGCTATTGGCCTGAACATTACAGA